CTTTCTTCCTTTATTTTCTGAATGAATTTGTGTACAGCTAGTAGTTCACTTGCTGTGTCCCACTGGTATGAACTTTTCTTAAAGTTCTGATAGAGTTTATCATTGAAGTCACCTGGTCCTGGAGAAATTTTCTTTGTAGAAAAGGTTTGATAATAAATTTGGTTTGTATAATAGAAAGAGGGTCATTCAGATTTTCTATTTCTTCTTGTGGCAATTATGCTAAATTCCATTTTTTTTCCCAAGAAAACTGACCTAGGCTACCAAAATAATTGTCAGATGGTTCATAAGCTATACTTACAATTGCATCTTTAGTTTTTTCAGTGTTACAGAATGTGTTTTTCTTTGTATTTATTTTGCTTAAGGTTTGCTGCATTTCTTGGATATATAAGTGAATGCTTTCACTCAGTCTGGAAATTTTGCAGCTGTAATTTCTTCAAATAATTTGTTTTCTGGTATATTTTCTCTCTCTTATTTTATATTCCAATGCATTTATATTAGACTCACCGATATCACATAATCATATGTTCTGTTCATCGTTTTACAACCTTTATCTCACTTTTCTGCATAGTGAGCTCATTGAAATTCTTAATTGATCTGAGTACAGATCTTTTGACATTTCTACCATGCATTTAACACTACTCAATGAACTTTTCATTTCAAATGTTGCACATTTCAGTTCCAAAATTTGTGTTTGGTTCTTCTTAATATTTTACATTTCCCTGGTGAAACTCATTCCTCTTTAGCTATAATGATCATGTTTTTATTGACATTCTTGGACATTATCATAGTTTAAAATATTCTTATTCTAATTATTAGGACATCTTACAGTCTATTGAATTTTTCTCTTGACTACTGATCACATTTTCCAGTTTCTTCATCTCTTTTGATTTTGATTGCATACCAAACATTGTGGATGATGTTACAGAGATTCTAGACAATGTTTAATTTTCTAAAAAGAAACTTGATGTTTTTGTTCAATCAAGCAATTAAATCTTTAGATAATTAGCTTGCACTCTTGGATTCCTGGTGTTACATTTTGTTAGGGAGGATCTATTTTGGATTTGCTATTGGTTTTAGGATGACTCCTTTACTTTGAAGGCAGAGACTTTCCAGAGCTAGAAAAACTTGTTCACCTAGCACCACTAACATGGGTGAGATTCAAATTCCAGAATCTACAGGCAGTAGCTGTAAGCAGTAGGCATCAGTCGAAATCTTTGATCAGTTTTTTTTGCATCCTAGTTACTGTTTTCCACTGAATTTTCTGCTACATATATGCATACATTATTCAAGGATTGATGGGAATTTATTCATCGAATTGGCCACTATCTTATCTACTGCTCTCTCCTGTGTGATGATGATGATGTTGAAAGATGAAATTGTTCCTTTTATCTTCCTGAATACTCACAGAGTCACTTAATCCTAAGGGGATCGTCAGATGTTATCCATACTACGTGCTACCAGCGATGAAGTATCTAAAACCACTTTTAATTAATGCCCTGTTTCTAAGGGAGACCAGGGAGGAGAAATGCTTCCATAGGAAATGAGCTTTTTCTGTGTGAAGGCTCCTTACTTTGCACTATGATTTTAGCCCACATAACAGATTTACGTGGCTGTCAGGTGTAGAGGACCACCTGGATGACTCTCCTTGAACAAAGAGCAATTACCTGAACCTTGGCTCAACCTGGCCCTATTTTTATGTACTGATATGTACACAGATAGCCAGGCCACTTCCTTTTCCCTTCAACTGGCTCTAAGCAATATAAACAGGACTCATCGAGGTGCTGCTGCATAATCTTCAAAGCTAGGTGGCAGCTGCTATTTCCCTGCCCTGTGACATCCAAAACAGGGTCAAGCTGGGCAGGATGAAGAGCTACCACTCTGGGGCAAACTGCTGACACACTGGGTTGGGGCCCCAAGATAAGAGGCTATGACTTTCCAGAGCAGAGAAGTTTGCACATTAGAGCTGAAGCACTGGCTCCCAAAACATTAAATGCTACCTCAGTTGTGTCATGTCTGTCTGCATTCTCTATTTCCTGCCTTTCTCACAGTCAAGCATACTCAAGCCACTCCCTTCTTTGCAAATTAATAAAATCTGGGTTAGGCCCTGGGTCGAAGCCTCTGTTCTGATGACCTTTCATCCTGGCCAGACTTAGGGTTCCTCGTAACTATAAGCATGCGTTAGTGTCTTCGTTCTTGTTGTAGGTTACACTGGAAGTGGTTGACTGGAATTAACTTGCCAGAATTCCAAAACATTTTCCATGGGATTACAAATGTAAACTTCCCAGGTTGACATGAGGTTCAGGAAGGGATCTCTATAGTCAGGGTCACAGACTCATACAGACAGAGGAACGTTCAGGGACCTGAAACTGAGTCCGTCCCATGGACTGAGACTATAGCTAAGGATTCAAGAAGCATCCATCCTACTGTCCTGGTTTGGTATCTCCAGTTTCCTTTACTCTGATGCACCCTCTTAGTGCCTAGGGAGCCCATAATTTTTTGTCTGTCTTATGCAGGATCTCTCCCCGTGTTCTGTCTACTAGATTTTATTCCTGGTTCTGTTTGCATGGCTACTGCATCATTCTGATTGCTCTGATCCTTAATTTTATGAGATAAATTACCCCCATTTCCTTTTTACATGTTTAAATCTTAACCTCCAGGACCTCAGAATGTGACCTTAACTAGGGACAGGGTCTTCACAGAGATAATCAAGTAGGTAGTCCTTAGGATGAGCCCTAATCCAATAGGGCAGATGCTCTTATACGATGGGATCCAGGGACACATATGTACAGAAAGAAGACTGTATGAATACACGCACGGGGAAAGCAACCCTGTTCAAGCCAAGGAGAGGCCTGGAACATATCATTCCTTTCCTTGTAGCCTTGAGAAGGAACCAATACTTGCTGACACCTTGATGGCGAACTTCTAGCCTCCAGCACTGAGAAATATATTTCAGTTATGTAAGACACCTGGCTTGTGGTACTTGGTCATAGCAGCTGCAGCAAACTAGTGCACTTGCTGCTTAAGGAATAATACCTAAACTTAGTGTTTTTACTCGATTCTAACTCATGGCTTGGCTTTGTCCCTTGAGACCTACTGATCCCTCCATATGGTAAATGGGCAAAGAAAAAAAAAAGATTAATGTCCTAATTAAGTTGAATGACCTTTCTGATCCTCAGATTCCTTATCTATAATAAATGTTCTCTGCCCAGTGACACTGGAAAGAGGTGTGGCATCCAAGAATGTCAGTGCTGTCCTTTCCAAAGTGTCCTGCTCCTCACTTACGTCTCCTGTTGTCAGATTATAAAAGAACCATGGTTAGGGGCCGCTCTTGGAGAGATGCCAAACTCAGAACTCTCTACTTTTAAAAGAGCTTGCAACTTCAGACTTTCTCTTTTTCTCTCTCTAGCTCAAGAGACAGGTGAGCAGGAAACTATTTTTGCTGAGTGGAAAGAATGGGAGGTAAAGTCCAGGTTTTACATCTTCACAGCATTTAAAAATAATTCCTCAGTCAACTTATTGTTTTATATATGTTATAAGAAATGAGGTACTAAGCAACAAAAACTGATGCTTTTAATGAAGGGGTTTCTTAGAAATATATAAAGGAAGAATAACGCTAATGGCACATCAAACTGCATTACAAAATTGTTGTCTGCTGAAAGGGTCTTTATACGAAATTAAAGATAATGTGATAGCATGTCTAATGGTTTTCTCAGTCTCTGAAATAATTTTGCTATTGAGAATTTAAAAAACTGTTGTATCTACAAAAATTAACATGCTTGTTAAATAATTTCTAAAATAGAAAACATTTTTAGTAGCTTACATTCTAGCTGTATAAATCTTTATCCAGTCTAAATGTTACTCAAAATAACTGATTTTTCCAAGAATTCTACCTTTTTCAGTTCTCTAGAATGCCTCCAGATGGCATTAAAACCCTTTTCACATTATATTTTCTAGCACACAAAAAAATTAAAAATTAATAATATTTTAACCACTTGAGATAGTCAGACTCATTGCATCATCAGAAATCACACAACGGAACTATTTAGAACTTTTAGGGTAGTATGTTGAGAAAGACAAACACAACCTTACATATTACAAAACGCAAGCTATTCAGTGAAATCAAAGGAACTTTCTACATTGAGAAACAGATCTCAGACAACGTAAGACCTGCAATGTTGTACCACAAACTGTGATTTCTAGTGCATTGCACTTTGAATGATTAGTAGCAGAAACACTGAACCCCAAATACATACAATTCACAAAGCCTATCTTACAATAAAATATATTTCCACTCTTTAAAATGATAAATATGAAGACTTTTTCAGGAACAAACCTGTTATTGATTCCTGTGGAACTAAGACAAAATCATTTGACAGCTTGTTAAGTATTTTCTTTAAATACTGGTCCATTATTTTAGCATCAAATTAATCGTTAAAATGTATGTGGATGCCTTGAATATTGAGGAAGAACAACAAAACACTCTGAGTTTTCTTAGCTTAAAACTGTGTTGTCACAGGCACAAACTCTTGAGATCCAGTGATATGTACATAGAACTGTATTTTTTTTCACATAATTCAGAAGTGAGATTGCAGATGGCAGGCTTTTAAAATGACATGGATACAGATGCGTGATGCAGAACGTCCCCAGAACGTGGGAAGAGTTGGACCATCTTACCAAGGTGCTGAAAGTGGCCCACCAAATCCTCAAGGACTTCCCTCACGTCCCCATTCTTCTCCCCATTCCACACCCTCATATCCCACCCTATTTCTATTTTATAAAGAGCAACATTTGCATTTTCAAGATTCCTCTACTACACCAAAGCAGAAGAGACCTCAAAACACATCTGTACCCAAAAGCATTTAAAAAGACATTATCATGAGAAAAGAGAACCATGGTTTCCTTTCTTTATGATCATTACTATGACAAGCTGCTCGCGCCACTTCATTTCACAAGCATATGAAAGCACAGTCATTTCTGATAGAAGCACAAAAGAGACTTACGATGTATTCGATGTGCCATTGTCTGGACTCTCTGGCTCAGCATCACCTTTCTCTTAAAAAGGGAGCAGAAAAAAACACCAACATGTGAGTCTTGCCGTCTTGAAGAATTAAGAGATTAAATATATTTCTATGCTCCTATTAAAAATCTTTCCAAGTGTGCAGCAGGAGGCTACTAAAATATCTTTTATTGCCTGAGAAGCGGATTTGCAAAATCATCTCGTCTTTGCCATGCAATTGCCCAGGCACAACTCTGTGAGTAGGTACTGAGGAGCTATTTGCAAACACCAGAGACTTGCGGCAGAGACCCTGCCAAAAGATGAATATCTTACAGATGGAATCGGTTTCTTTCCATTTCACTTTACAGAAAATTTAAGAGAAATAAACCCATTAGCATGCCACATCCAAGACACTTTGAACTTTGATCCTCTCTGCTAACAAGCCAAATAGGGTCAGGCAGAATTGGAGTTTTGACCAAAGAATTTTACAGAACACTGAGGATGGAGTCGTGAGGCTCCCAAGAATTCCTACCCCATGGAGAGCCCTGGCAGCAGGTTTTGAGCTCCGAAGTTAAAGCAGAATAATATGTAAACTGCAAATCCTTCCTGACCCTCTGAGAGGCTAGCTACAAAAACATTTCTGTGGGATATGTCATCGGGGATTTAATGCGTTTTAGTTTGGGGAGCCAGGAAACACCTACTTTGTGTAGTTTTAAGGGCAAATTCCTCTTGTAACAGGCACAGCATAAGCCTAATCCTGGACCGAATGGTGATTGGAAGCAGGCAGCGTCATTTTGGAAGGAGCCTTTTTGGATTTCCTTGAGGCTGGGATGGAAGGCGTGGGGTCTCTCAAGCCTGAGAGAGTGGGCCAGCTGCAGCCACAGTTTGATGGCTGTGTAGTGCAACAGTCGAATAAACCCCACACTGACTGTGAGTTGTAAGAGGTGGGCAGAGGGTGGGGACAACTGGCTTTGCTGTGCTTTTCAAGCCAGACCCGGACATCTCCTAGGACAGTGATGGCAAACCTTTCAGGGCATTCAGTGAAAATGGCTGGCTGTGATAAACACACCATAGGTTCGCCTCTACTGTACCTAGGCCCTCTCAGGCCACTGGTCAGGCCCTTAGGTCTATGCATGGTGTCAAGCTCCATTTGTCAGCTGTCAATAGTAATTGGTGGTCACTTTGAGGAATGAGGATCCCTTAAATTTTATAATGAGCACATCCTGAAGCTACTTTCCAGACTGAGCTTGAGAGCTAACTTCGTATTTTCTTCTGTTTCTCATAGGAAATTAAACAGCTGACAGCAGAAGAAGATGCAGTGACAAAGGAGTCATGCATCTACCTCAGACACAGCTGTGTCATGTGTCCACGGTGCTGGTGCCCATGAGACACAGCCACTTGGCTCAAAAGCCAGTCATTCAGGGGAAAATAGAAAAAGCCACAAAGTCCATGCTGGTGACAACCCTGGGCATATTTGGGGACCCCATCCTCATGAAGCCATGTTGCTATAAAAGCAGCCAATAAACTTGCTCTGGAGCTCAGACTTTTATATTTGGTCTTCTGGGAAGGGCTTTGGTTTGCTCACTTAGTAGACATGTCAGGTCTCATCAGCTGGCTTCTATGCTGGAAAATAACCTAATCTAGCACATTCCAGCATCATTTTTCCATGGAGCATCATCATTCCTTCCATAATCCCAAAACAGAGTCAAACACCTGCATGATGTATGACAAAACTTAACAAAGATCTCATTTTTTTCAAATAGATTGATCCCTCTTATTTTTAATTTGGAGAAATTGGCTCCTTTCTCAGGGCATAGTGACCAGTAGCTTTTCCCACCACAGACACACACCAGGGCTTGGCAGTAGCAGGCAATAGTAAATATTTCCAAATAATTAGTGTCAGAAACCAGGGAGTCAACAATACAAATGAAGGCCTTGTTGGGATGTGTGAATAAGTATGCTTTATCTTGATCAATAATGCTGCCAAGTAACCCACAGGTTGAGAGGCCACAGGCTTGACTGCATGGGGAAGCTGGGGGCTGCAGGAGTCCCAGGCTGGCGTCAGCTCAGGGACAAAGCTGTAGCTGATTATCTCTGCTCTTGGCAGCACTTATGTTGTGGCAACAGGGAAAACAGAATAGGTTCTGGCAAGTCAGGAGGACACCAAGGGGCCAAATGGGATAATCATGAATAGTCCAAAAGTGAGTGCTCCTAGCAACTTCAGTGCTGATAATGAATTAGTCTTTCTGGGTAGAAGTAAGCTGATGATTAAGACAAGGATTACTACTATTTTTGTCCTTCAAGAAGAAGGAGATGCAAAACTTTCCCCTACACCAACATCTTCAAATTTTAGGTGATCCAATTTCTGAAGCTAACTTGAAATATGAAGGGCATAAACTATCAAGAATCGTAGTCTGCCAGGCCCAAGTGGAAAGGTGGAAGGCAAGCCAGAAACTTCTAAGTATGAGATTTAATTAGTTAGGTCTCCAGAGATATTTCTCTCTGCAGCCCCTCAAAAGACTGCTGGGTTCATCTTGTTGATCTTAGTTGCATTCACGATGGATCTCGCCATGCTAGTTCCTTTGGGAGAGAATCCGCTCTTAGCACTAAGAAGCGAGACATAAAAGACTTGTTCAGGTGTAGGGTGTTCATTCAGCAGGTGGAAATATTGTTACAGAGAAGAAAGGAAGAAAAGAGAGCTACACTAAGGACTGCACTGATGTGCGCAAATTATATACAGGGGATACCTATCTGTACGATACACGAATTTTCAACTTGACACATGCCCTTGGGTGATCTGTCACCAACACAGAACTACACGCTCAAGTAGAAGATCTGGGGTGGTGGTGTAGCTCAGTGGCACAATGCCTGCCCTGGGTTCACCCTCAGAATTAAAAATAAAAAGAACACAAGAGGCAGTTTAAGGTACCTTTGCCCCTGAGATGGGTATAGCTTAACATATGAAACAGCCTGATGGTTCTAATAGGCCATTTAGAAGTTTTTTGGTAGCTGCCTTTCTAAGTCAATAGATAGATGTACCCAAGGCTTTCATTCCTGACCCTCTGGCTGGTAAGCATAAGTTCATACACCAGTTCATACAGTTCATCCAGTTCATACACCTTATACACTTAAGGAGACTACGCTGCTGGAGGATTCTATTCTCCATCAGCAGTGCTAGGACATGGACCAGATAAGCGTTTTGTAAAGTGACTCAAAATAGACATATATTACACTGCATTCTACTGCTACAAATTCTCTTCAATTGTAATTCATGTGTTTCTACTTTCAAACAGTAGGGGAAGGGCGATGAGTTTGCTTGCTTTTGTTTCTAATTCTGTTAGTCCCTGATTCTTTACTTTAAATCATATGCTATTTTTTTATTTGTAGAAGTATCGATTTTAGACATTCCTGATAATCTCTGATATGAGAAATAAGAGATCAGGCATCTGACATACTGTCCCTTCTCCTGCAATTTTTATTAGTTCTGTTATAATTTTTAGTGTCTCTAGTTGGTATTTCTTGATTGATCAACTTCTGAGAGTACAGCACCTCTTAATATTGTGTCTAGTGAGGGAACTCTCCTGTTCATTCTTCCATCCATCCTTCTTCGCTCACTTTCTCAACTCTAAACTGCCATACTTTTCTTATTACAGTGATTGCTAAGACTTAAAATGCTTACATTCTGTTCAATAATTATTGAAGAATCACCCTCAGGAGTATTAATTTAGTTAACAATTTAAGTTTTGGACTTGCTGATAGGTCAGTTAAGAGAAATTATAAACCAATAACTAGGAGTCACACTATTATAAGCATTAGCTACCAGAGGGCAAAGCAGGATTAGTGGACCTGTGCAGAAGGGATCGTCACTAATGCTGAATGAGGCATTGTCCCTGCCATCTGTGCCTAGTGGATTCTCACTCTCATCTTCTACCACACCACAAAAAGTAACTCAGCTGCCCCAAAGGCTTTTGGGTTCTTCTAGTCCTTCCTGCCAGCTACTCAGTAAAGATTCTGTGCTAATCAATCCCTTTCCTCCTCTGAGAGTTTTTTTTTTTAAACCATGAATATGCATAGTGTTTGGTCATTTCTGTTCCTAATCTATACGTGAATGGCTCCAGACTGCATATGTTCTACTGAGGCTGAGCTCTGATGCTCCACGTTATGATTTTCAGACCCCGCTGTCACAATGCAGGTAGATTTGGCTTTGCTCATTCATCCACAGTGCAGTGAAATATCTTAGTGTGTGAAGATACTGTGAGGTTAATTATTCTACTTCCTGATGGGAAGACATGGAGACGTTTTTCCGTTCTAAGTGATGCATTTGCAGATGTTCACGAGCACCTTTCTCCAGACATGCTAGGCAGGAGTTCTGCGCTGTGGGGCTCACAGAGGTCAGTCCCCAGCTGGGAACCTGACCTGGTTTTGCACATTGACACTCCCTCTGGTAGTAAACAGATCATCCCTCATCTACAACATTTGTTAGAGTCACATTTTTAACATTGTTTTTCTAATTTAATAATGGAGAATGAAATTTCACTGTGGGGTTTCCACCCTCTGAGTCCTAATGAGATACATATTTTGGACTTGCTCCTCTGTGTCATTTAAAAATGTTTTAGTTTTTTATTTAGAGAAGCATTTTTGTGTCTATCTACAATCAGTGCATTTGTAACATCTTAAATATGACTATAAGCACAGTTCTCAAAGTTAGCCTTTAAAACTTTTTTTCTAGTATCTTTGGGCAAACTATCAGTTTTTAATTCTAACGTACTTGTATTTACCGATATTTTCCTTTCACTGACTTCTTGTATTTTATGTTTAAGAAACACACTGGAAATATGTGCTATGTTGTCTTTGAAAGTGGGTAGTTTCAGGCATTTTAAAACAATATCCAGATTGGTTCTTGTCGATGGTGTGGGGTGGAAGTTGTGTTTCTCCCTGTAGATGACCTGCAGTCTCCATTCTCAGTGTTCCCGTTCGCAAAGCCTGCAGTCTCCACAGGATGCAAGTTTTCGGCTCTATTCAGGCGTCATTTCCTTGTCCTGTGACTGCTTCTGGC